TGCTTCCACAAGGACCAAGTGCCTGCACTAGAGGAGGTTTCTCAGCCTTTCAGATCTGTTCCTTCTCCTCTGTGCTGAAGTACTCCTCCTTTGCTCTGCCAGCCCCTTGGCATCTGATTTCACTTTACAGGAATCTTCCTGACCTCATTTCCCTCACACTGCTCTTCATCTAATAGCTGAAATGTATTTTATAAGGCTGTGGTGAAATCAAAGAATTGTTTTGGTGAAAAAAAGCCCCCAGCACTACCAAGCCCACCACTAAACCATGTCACCAGGTGCCATATCTTCATGTGTGTTCAATCCCTCCAGGATGGTGATTCCACCACTCAGTGCCATGAAGAAATTTTCCCTCACATCCACTCAAAACCTCCCCTGGTGCAACTTGAGGCCATTTTCTCTCATTCTATCACTGTTCCTTGGGAGAGGAGACCAAACCCCACATCACTACCCCCTCTTTTCAGGGACTTGTAGAGAGAGAAGGTCCCCACCGTGTCTCTTTTACTCCAGAGCCCCTCCTGCTCCCTCATCAGATTTGTGCTCCAGCCCCTTCCCCAGCTCCCTTGCCCTGCTTTGGACACATGCACTGACCTCTTTCAGAAAGGTCAGTTGGAGGAACTAGGACTGGCCCTTCCCCTGCAGGGAATTTTCTCCACAACAGCCCAAGCTATTCACTGGCCACTGTTTCCATGTGGTTTGCATAATTTCCATGCTTGGGTTAAAGCATTTCCTGCTGCTGGAYCACAAGTGGGGTTTGCAAGCTGGGGAGCACCCAGCAAAAACTCTGGACCACGCTGATTGCAGCAGGAAGAACTTGTGTGCTGTGGCAGAGCTGGCTAGAACACGAGAGATTTCTATAGCTGTCAATTTATGCAGGTTCACAATATAAGAGAAAACCCTGTGATGTTTTCATGTTGRGCACATGAAATTATAATATGATAAGGATTCATCTGCAAAGTAGATAAACCTGAGCACCACTTACTCAGTGAGTACRTGTTTACCACTCACTTTTGATTTGCTAAATCTGCAGCCTAACCACAGTTATTTCTGAGCACTGCAAATTAGTCCTCTGTAAAAAATTATTGTTGACTGAATAATTACTAAGATTGCGTTAACATAAATGCTTAAGACAATACACTCCTCATCCCTAATTTCCCCATGGGAGCAGGCACGCATCGCATTTCTTCACTCTGGCTCTTGCACAGCCCCAGGGCAGGGCAGGTGGAGGGCTGCTGCCTGCAGCTGCCTGGGAACCCCTGATCTGCCCCAACTGGCCCCCACCCTGCCCTTATCACTGGGGACACCTTGGGCTGTTCAGCAGCCAAGGCCTGGCATGAGGATGTCCTCTCCAAACGGGAGGTGTCCGAATCTTGCCATCACACGGGTTCTTCATCCCACATCCGAAGCAGCGGCAGATCATGCCTGGYCAGATAAATGTTGCCATCTGCTCCTCCTCCCCAAGCACCACTGAGCCGTCTCTCCCACTCGGTGCTTCCTTCCCACACTCCCACATCACCCTCGGTGATCTCTGCTGAAGAGCCCATCCCCAGCCTGCCCTGCCCATCCCCAGCCTGGGCACCCTCGGCTGGGCACAGGCCAGCACAGGCACCCCGCTCACAGCCCCAGGGAGCAGGATTGTCCGAGCAGGACAAGCGCTCTGCTTGTTTTAGACACCACCGGGTTCCTGAGTGCCCCTTGAGTTATTTCAGAAGATAACAGAGTYGCTCGGATTTCTGAAATGSYTTTGACAGCTATCCRCGTATCCGACTGCAGGCAAAGCCARAGTCACGTGCAGAGCAGGAATAGTAAATGGATAGGAGATGGGAATATAAAAAGCTYCTCTCCCGACGCCAGAGCTGCTACAGGCTCCTTGAGCAGACACCGCTGACCTTCTCTGTTGCCGARAGTAAACACTGCTGGGAAAAAGCACTGGGCTGCATTAGGGACGGGATTTCAGGGGCTGTGAGAACGTTTGATTCCTGAAGCTGTGTCTGATCCTTGTTTTCCTCTGTGCCAGCGTGTAGGAGGGCTCACATCACCGCTGTCTCTGCGTTTCGTGGGATGATCCGGGCAGAGGGACCCCGCCGGCCGCGGCAGCTCCCAGCTGATGGCTCGCTGCTCCCGCTCCCTGCCCTTTAACATCTCGTGATGCCCGGCTGTGCCCCGCGGCCGCGGATGCTGCGATGCTGTGCCTCCATCTTGCAGCAGCAGTACAGCGGGTAGCCTGTTTTGCGGCCCCGAACAGGGGGATTCAGGGCTCGGGGAGGGCCGGGGGCGGCGGGGCCATCGCCGCTCTCCCACGGGGCGGGGATCTCGCACCGGCAGCCGCTACCGAAGCACCCACCCCGTCCCGTCCCGCCCTGCCGGTACCGACACCGCCCAGCCCGCTCCGGCTGCGGCTGCCCGGGGAAATAAACGGGTGAAATGGAAAAAAACGGGACACGCCTCCTGAGRAAAGCTCCGGAGCCGGCGGCGGGGCAGCCGTGATGCCCGGGGGAAAGGCTTCGGGGATGCCGCGGGGAGGCGGGGCCGGAGCGGGCACAGCCCCCGGTCCCCTCCGGTCCCCTCCGGCCGGGCCGGGACGCACCGCCCCGCGGGGGCCGGGCTGGGGTGGGCCGGGGCGGAGCTGCCCGTGCCGCCTCCGCGGAGCGCGCACAGCCCGCGGGAGACCCGCGGAGCGCCGCGCTCGCCATGCGCGACTACGATGCGGCCACCGCATTTCTGGGCGAGTGGGGCCGCTTCCAGCGCCTCGTCTTCTTCCTGCTCAGCGCCAGCATCATTCCCAATGGCTTCAACGGGATGTCGGTCGTGTTCCTGGCCGGCACCCCCGAGCACCGGTGCGTCGTGCCCCGCGGGGCCAACCTGAGCGGCGAGTGGCGCAACGCCAGCATCCCGCTGGAGCAGCGGGGCGGGCAGGAGGTGCCGAGCCGCTGCCGCCGCTACCGCCTGGCCGCGCTCGCCAACTTCTCGGCGCTGGGGCTGCGACCCGGCTCCGACGTGGAGCTGGAGGCGCTGGARCAGGAGCCGTGCCTGGACGGCTGGGAGTACAGCCGCGATGTCTATCGCTCCACCATCATCACCGAGGTGCGCGGCCGCGGTGACATCCCAGCCCCTGGCTGTGCTGGAATGCCGGGGTGGGATTATTCTGCCTTGGGGAGGGCGAACAGGGTGCAAGGACCAGCGGGTGAAGTGTCTGTGGGAAAGGGTCCGGGTGGCACGATGCTGCGAGGGGCGGGAGGGATGCGAGAGGTAAAGGGTGTCGAGGGATCTGCCCGCCCTCGCCATCCCAGCTGTGTTTTCCAGCTTGTTTTACTSGGAGACAGGTTTGTGTGGAGGGGGAGGCGGAGGCTGGAAATAGAAGCCCGGTAGTTTCCTCCTGCCACACGCTGACCATCCCGGTAATTTTTCTATGCCATGGAATTGCTCCTTCTCAGTGCAGCGTTGAATGGGGACATGGACACATTCAGGTAGACACAGGGGCTAGAGCAGGGTGGACCCTCGCTGGCCCCGCACCCTGGAATGCCAGTGGCTTCCGTGGCCGCCAGCGCTGGGATTGTGCCGTGGCAGGTGCCGCGGYCGCTCCTGCGGGATCCAGAGCTGCCTGCAGCCGGGCTGTCCGGTCGGTCTGTGAGGCTCTGCAGCAGGATCTCTGTACAGGGTGTGATGTGGGATCATCAGCGGTGCCGGGTCGTGTGAGCACTTGTTTGGGTCGTGCGCCGGTGGGCGGCAGGGACGTGCTGTTCTGTCGCGCTGGCGCGGGGTGTGGAGCTCCTTTAGAGAAGGGAGAGGACTCGCCTGCAGCTGCGGGACTGCTGCTGCTGCTGTGCCTTRTGTAAGGGGGTTCGGGGAATGACGGGCTCACCCCCGTGCCAGGCAATGTTTGTACGCGGCAGCTCGCAGGTCCTGGGGCTGAGCGCACTGCAGGTGGCCCAGGGCCACCCTGCTCACACACCRATGGCTCACCCTGGGGGTGCCTGGCAGGGAATGGGTGTGGAACCCTCCTCACGAGTCCCTGTGACTCAGCAGCAACATCTGCCACCAAAAAACCATCACAGGATGCCACAGCCGGGAAGGGTTCTGATGTGAGGCCAGGGGTCTGTGCCCTGAGGACACAGGAGGAGGGTCTGTCTGTGCTGGGCGTGTGCAGACAGAGGCTCAGCCACATGCCAGGCAGGCAGGATGTGGACAGGGGATGTCAGCCTCTGTCAYCTGCTCAGAGGGAAGTCACTGGCACATGTGACACTTTGCATTTGTGCTGGCAGTCGTGCTCAGTCGCTGGAGATCGCTCACAGTACCAAATCAAGGCAGGGGTGTGTGGGAAGCTTGCCCTGCTCCTGGCCCTGGGTTCACKGAAGCGGCAGCCTGGCTGCTGCCCACATGCCCGGCTGTGACCCACGGGCTGGCACGGCTGYGTGCCGGGCGCCTGGTGGCCACCACTGGCACAGACAATGCTACTCTCACTGCTAGAGGGAGGCCGGTTTGTCCTGGGGTGTCTATGAACTTATTACCTCAGTTTTGGAGTCAGTGCTTGCTCTGAGAGAGGCAGTAAATTAAGCAAAAGGAGGAGAAATGCGATTTTTCTTAATGAACAGTAAATAACTTGTGTTGGCCGATGCCAAACAAAAGCATTCCGTGCAGGAATCAGATGGGACGCAGCAGTGGGGTTTGCCACGGGGCCTGAGGCGTGCCAGAGAGGCAACAGCACATTCAGAGATGGAAACCAAGTGCCAGGTTCCCATCTGTAAGCCAGATGGAAAAGAAGGAAACTTGTTTTGTTTCAAAATTGTCATGGACATTTGGAAAAATTACAAAATTTGGTTTCAAAAGAAGGAAAACAGGCACTGATGAAATGCTGGAAAGAGGCAGTTTAGTTGAATTTGAGATGCTTATTTTTGTACCCAACATTTTTCTCTGTATTAGGAAAGGCAAGCCAGGACATGCCATCAGAGGAGCTCAGTGAAGAAACAGCTTCAGTTCAAGAACTCAGTTGAGGAGCAGAACTTGATGGTACAGGATTCAGCTCTGGAGACTTCATTTGATTGGTTCAGTTGTGTTAAATCCTGTTATTAAGGGTGCTTGAAGGGAACTGGGAGATGCCAGCTCAGCACCTGTGTTACGTGGTCTGTGAGGACATGCTGAACTCTGGGAACAGAGAATCCCAGACTGAGTCATCTGCACGGTCTTAAAATGGAGGTGATGGGCAAAAGTGGATGTGTCCACAGGTGATCATTGGGCCAGGGTGATGTAAGAAAGGGGCTGTAAGTGCAATGGGGAACAGGTGAAAGTGTCATTGTGGGGTCAGGTGTGRTCCCTTGGCAGAGATGAAGGGGCTGCAGGGTTTCCTTTCCACCACTTGGCAGGAGTCTCTTTCATTGGTGCATTTTTCAGGAACTTAATGTTCTTCTCTTTACTTCCAGATCATGATGCTCAGATCAAACATGCATTAGAGGCTCGAGGACAAGTGCCCTTCAGAGCAGGCATTAGGATCCAGTTAGTTCCCTTGAGCCAGGCTGTCACCCAGCMCTGCTCCCCGGGGACAGRCTGAGCTGCTCTCCACCACTGGGGCTTTGTTTGTACCCCAGACACCACTGCCAGGCCCCTGCAAAGGGCACAGTGAGTGCCAGAGGCTCTACTGGGGATACTGGTCTGTCACCTGTGTCACCCTCAGTCCCTGTCCCAGCCCTGGCACTGATGTTACTGAAGGCCAAAACCTTTTGGGATTGGCAGAGGCAGGAGACTGGATGGGAATTGCTGTGGTTTGAAGGCATCTGAAGGTCTGTTCTGTTCTGTTACGGCTTTTTCCATCCCTGGAGAGCAGCCCTGCCCAGCCCTGGAAGTCTGCCCCGTGTTTGGGCACAGAGGGACCCTGTGCTTGTCACTTGTGCACCGAGCAGAGCTGGTCTCATTGCTGGACCTGGTACCCAGGGACCAGGATGGGGCCATCTGTGAATAATTAACACTTCTTGAGTTATTCATCGTCAGCTTTACTCTTGGAAACAAGTTCAGATTTTCCCTGCTTTGCAGCCCCACCCACTTATACAAGGCTGCACTGGTGTTTTCTCTTATGTAAATGGGTTGTACTCAGGATGTTAATTCATGATTTCTGACTGGGGGGGGGGGGTCACTTTGGGCAGTGGGAGCATCTTCTCCTGTAATTTCAGTTCTTCAGAAAGCTCTTCCACCTATAGTGCTCCTACCAGCAGCACCCAGCACTAATGGCTCTTCCAGTAGCCGGGAGCTTGTCAGAAAGGAATTGGATGGGAGTAAAGTGATTTRATAATGGTGTTCTTGAGCAGCTCCTATCCCTAGCATTCAGAGACCGTGCTTGGAATCTTACATGAACTTTGTTCCCCAGTCTGCTGAGCCAGGGACATTACAGAATTACTTATTTTCTGGTTAATGTATAATTAGCCCATTAGAGACAGTTGGGAAGTTGTAGCTGCAGGCAGTTCAGCTGTGGCTGGGCTGGAGCTCCTGTGGCCRTGTGTGCTTGGCGCTGTCTGTGATGGACGCAGCCTCTGAGGAGGGGGTCAAATAAATTACATTTCACTCTTCCCTATATACTGAAGCAAGAGTGAAACCTTACCATGTTGATCTGTGCTTGGTCACTGTGCAGTGCCATGGCATGAGCCTCAGCCAGGGCGAGTGCCCGTGGGGATGGGAGGCTGGCATTTGGGACATGAGGTGTACCTGGAGAGTAGGGCTCTATTGCTGAGGTGCTTTATGTGGTACTGGAGCTAAATCAGCTGGTTTGTTCACTCAGCAGCTTCAGGTCTACTCAGAATTTGATGGATTTGAGTTGTGTGTGTTTTCTGCTCAATGCAGTGGGTTTCTGTAGACACTACCCCCTCTTTGGACAGCCAGCTGCTGTGTGCTGTTTACCACATCCCCCACATCTGAAAGCATTGACCCTGTACTGTGAATTTTTGCTGGGTGTGCAGTATGGAATGGGGAAAGGTGAACACCTGGATMGCAGGCATTTGGCACCAAGGAGGCACTGCAAGTTCATGGGCAAGTTATTATTTAGCTGGGTTTATTTTACAGCCAAAGTGCCTTTGGCACCATGGAGACGTTTTGAAAACACTGATCCTTAACCTGGAGGGACTCAAGTCTGAAGGTCTGTGAGCGGGCACCGTGCTGGTGGCCCCAGAGCAGGGTGCTCAGCACCCAGGTAATTAATGATAGTCTGTATCAGCAAATTCTGCCACATTCTCAGCTGTCCCAGAGCAGGACATGGTGAAACACCTCTGCAGTGTACATTTAATGCCATGTTTTCTGTACCTGAATTTGCTTTGTTTAAAAAATACTGGACTTGATTTCCACCAAGCTTCTTTGCAGAAATCTCTGCTTTCTTTGACAGGTGAAGCAGATCCCTGGATCTGTTTTTCACAAGTAGCATCCTTGAATGTACCAGAGCCCCATTGACCCACATGCTCACCTCCACCTTGTCAAACACCGAGCAGATAAGAGCAGGTGTGTGCCCAGATGTGCCCACGCCTCACYGCCTCTCTCTTCCCAGCAGGCACGAGAAAAGACTTTACAGAAACTGCCGCCSGAGGGTTCTTTTTGTTCTTAATCAGACTTAAATCTTGGAGGCACATTTTAGTCCACAAGTTTCCTTGTTCCTGCGTTGAAGATGAGTGTGTTCCCCAGGAAGAGGCACKGGCTGTGTTTTTGATCTCAATTCCTTTTTCTGTCGTGTAGCTGGTGTTACTTTGCAGGCTGGGCAAAGGGCAGAGGTACTGGCKCCCCTCTGCTGGCAGCATGCTTCTGTTCTGCCTGAAAATAGGCATTGATTGCATCTCTTTCCCAAATTATATTCCAAAGCAAACTGCTTTAAACCACAGCACCTGCCCCTTGTTTTGGGGTTTGCCTGTTCTGCAGCAGCACTGAAGCTCAGCCCCCAATCCACTGGTTTGGTTTGGTTTGGTTTGGTTTGGTTTGGTTTGGTTTGGTTTGGTTTGGTTTGGTTTGGTTTGGTTTGGTTTTGGCAGGACTTGTGGTGCCATCAGACAGCACCTGGATGTCTCTGTAACACAGGAGTTGCTCCTGGTTGCCTGCAGCTGAGTGAGGAGCCTGAGCAGCTCTGAGGGCAGATTTCTGCTCCATCACCAAATCTTTGCCTGTGCTTGGCCCATCTGTTCTCCAGGCAGAGGATGAATGCTGGTGCAGGTGATGGACCCAGCTCTCTGACAGCATGGCTAATTATTAAAATTATGCCATACTTTGATCTGTGATCTAATCAGTGTACCACTGTGATAGAATTATCTGATCTGAGAGTGGCATGTTCAAAGCCTCTCCCTAAGTGYTCCTGGCAGGCATGCCTTAACCAGGAGATTAGTCACCAGGAAGGGAGCAAGCCTTGGCAGAGACATACTCAGCTGTAACTTCGGTGGACAGAGGCTTATGATGCCATTTCTATTTTTTTTTTAAACCATGTCTGGGGTTATGAGTAGTTTTAGGTGGAAGTTTCCACATTGGCTCCTGTCCTAAGTCTGAAACCCCAGCCAGCTGCAGTCATGAGGCTGTGAGTGATGGGTGGGAAGTCAGTGGTGCAGGTTTGGTGTGGAACAGAATTTGGTAACACGTCAGTGCAAGAAAAGAGATTTCATTCTGTGCATCTCGTTACATATGTTTTGCCAGCCCCAGAAGTTAGCAATGCAGCAGGTTTTGTGCTGGCAGAGGTAAACTGGAAGCTGTCCTTAGCTGGGATGGTTCTTTACCCTTTGCTTTTGCTCTGTTTCACTGATGGGAGAATCAGGGACCATGGGGAGCCAGGCTCAGGGGTCTGGTGGGTACATGATGGGAGGGTTGTGCTGCAAACAGGTCTAGGTCAGCCCCTGAGCTGCACAGTCTAGGTCAGCCCTGAGCTCCCATCAGTCTTGGCATTGCTGGCTGCTCATACCCTTAAGGGCAGTGGGGCTGTCACTGCTCGTGTTTTGGTCGCGTGGAGTTGCCTGGGGAGGCAACACTTTCCTTTTTTTTTTTTCTGTATTTTAAGCAGGATGTTCCACCAGCGACCTTGACCGAGAAAACAGTGCCAGTGATGGGTGGAAGTGTGGGAAATGGAATCCCATTGCATGGGAATGTGTGTGTGTCCAGCCAGCAGCCCCTGTGCCAGATGCGCTCCGTGCAGCGTTGTGGCTGTGTCTGAGCACTGGCCTTTCTCTTGCAGTGGAACCTGGTGTGTGAGGATGACTGGAAAGCTCCTCTGACCACCTCCCTCTTCTTCGTGGGGGTYCTCATCGGCTCCTTCATCTCGGGGCAGCTCTCGGACAGGTAACACCATGGGCAGAGCGGGGCAGACCTGGGGCCACGGCTGCTGTTTGTTTTTGAGAGACAAAAGGAGTGAAATCTCCATTACTCTGGGTTATGATTAAAATGAGGTAACTGGCCTGCTTCTTCAAAAATCCCATCTTAGTCTACCCCAGATGAAGGATTTCAGTCTCTTGGGCACTTCAGAGCCCAGGGATGATTTCYGCAAAGAGCCCTTGTAGCTACTTTGCAGATTGATGCAGTGGCTTTCCCTTCACAGCCCACTTTCCATTTGTTTCTTTATCCTTCAGTAGTTTAAAGGATGCTGGGTTTTGTCACACATTACCTGACAATCCCTTGTTAGAGCTGCAGGATAGGAACTTGTCCTTTGAATAAAATCTCTGCATAGGTGAGATGGTTTGCTGGAAGCACAGTAAACACATACGAGGAGGGAAGAARGATAACCTGGAAATGGAAAGCAATTGTCATAGCATCTCACTAAGCAGATGGAAAATGTAAAAAAAAAAATCATTACAGGCATTTGATAATTGTCTCAGCAGTGTTGAGGTTTTGGCCTTACAAGTGCTGAATGCAAAATATGCACTCCCTCTGCAAGTCCCTGCTCCCCTCTCCACACAGCCCTGAGCCCTGTGTCCATGCCCTTACGGTGGGATTTGTGATCCTGCTGTCTGGGAATGAGGATGTCAGAAGGCAGCAGTTTTCCTCTGGGCGCTTAGCAGAGGGGTTTCAAAACTCACTGCGAGTCTTAATCTTAAAGCCTCCAGCATTAAATTCCATGTGATCCGAATTTAATCTCCTGACTCCTGCCCCAKTGCAGAAGTCAGTTGGTGTTACTGTTTGAAAGGGAGATGAGATAATCACTAAATCCTAGTGGTGCCGTTTGTCCAGTGGGAGCATCTGAGGAAGTGAAGTGTGTGTGCCCTGGTGGCRGCACTGACAGCCTGGCTGCCTTCCTGCATGAGATTATTTGGGGATTTTGTTAGTAAAGGGGTATGATCTGAGCCTGTACCTGAGCAATTTCCCCATGACTACTGCAGAGGCCTTTCCCAAAKGCAGCATCTGTGCCCATGGGTATGAAAGCCCATACCTGAGCTTGTCCTGCCTCTCCAGGACAACATAACCCTAATGCAGAGAAAGAGGTGAGAGGAAGGGTGCAGCATGTCTGGCAACTTGGACTGAAACCAATTGACAAAGCTCAACACACTCAAAGCATAGTGGTGTTKCAAAGTATAGATGCCAGTAGCCTAAAAGCCATCATTTCCTCACTTTGAGCTGTGTGGCTTGCAGTGTGCATGAGTTTCCCTATTGTAGTGTTGCTTAATCTCCTTTGTCTCTGTCTTGTGGCTCCCTGAAGTTCTCTGCTCATAACTTTTCTTCTCTGTCTCATGGGTGTTGGAAATTCTTRTATTTTTTAGTGTATATGAAAATAATGAGATTGTTTAAGACGAACAGAACGTCAGTTTGGGCTAGGATGCATCATTTGAGGTTATTTGTATTCCCTTGTGCCCTCTTACATAAATACATGCTGTTTCAGTAATAATCTTTTTTTACCAAAGGTTTGGCAGGAAGAATATCCTTTTTTTGACGATGGCTGTGCAGACCGGCTTCAGCTTCCTGCAGATCTTTTCCATCAGTTGGGAGATGTTCACAGTGCTCTTTCTCATTGTGGGAATGGGACAGATCTCAAACTACGTGGTGGCCTTCATTCTGGGTATGAATATGTTTGCATTAGATTAAATGTTTGCTTAATGTACTGTTCCTTGTTTTSCCTCTGAACCTGGATCATTTAATTAGACAGTGGTAAATCTTCACTGGTAAAATTCCAACATTAAGCCAGTATAATACTTTTTACTCTGTGATACCTTGAGCCTATACTTTGTATAGGTTTAGAGAAAAAGCATAGAGCAGGAAGAATCTAAATAAACATCCATTTGCTTCCTCTTTGGAGAAGCCGCTCAAGGCAGCATTCAGGGTTTAGCAGCAGGTCTGAGATACRGGAAGCATTTGGGTTCATCCCTGCCTCTCCCTGTGCCCTTTGCAGAGGGGTGAGTGCACACCTGAGTGCAAAGCCTTGCAGCAAACCAGCATTTCCAGGCACAGTGAGTGTCAGGGGGGACCAGAGCAGAGGAGCTGGATGGGTGCCAGAGCCCCATTAGCCATAAAGGCATTGCTCTCATGTTGAGATCAGGGATAAAGTCCTAATTTTAAAAGCTAAGGTTTGCTTTCTTTTCTATGGGGAGGGTAGGAAGAAAGACCCCGCAGCTGCATGGCTGCATTTGCTGCAGGACCCTGTAGGAATGAGGGACCCCAAGGGGAAGGAGACCCCACAGAGACTCCCACTAGGCACAGAGGTTTCAGGAAAGGCAACTGCATGGACAAATCATGGGGATGAATGATGCAGCTCTCAGGGGGGAAACTGGGATTTGCAAGAGCTGTCTTTAAAATGTACACGTGTATATTTATGGTTATTTTCAAGCCCCTGGTGTCAACATCATGATTTGTAGATCGTAATGTGAGCTAGATCAACATTGTATATTAATAGTTAATGCTGGTCTTTCCTACCCCATGAGGCTTTAACGGGAAAAAATAGAGCAGAAGAGCAGAATCYGAAGTCAGTGCTATGCAGAGGATACAGCAGTGTGTCCCCAGGCAGTCATGAGTCACTGCTGCCTGTGGCGCAGGGAGGATTAAGGTCAGGCTGTCAGCAGGGACATCCCTTGCTGCCATCACCATTGTCACTGCCATTGCTGTCACCACTGCCACTGCTCCCACTGTCCAGGTAGCTAAATTCTTGTGTGGAGCTGATGGAGCAGGAGCAAACCCTGCCGTGGGAAGGCTGGGAGGTGCAGCACTGGATAAAGCTGAAAATCCTTGTGGAAGCACATGGGTGTTGCGTAGCAGAGAGGTKCAGGTTCTGATCAGGAAGGAATTTAGCTCCCAGTTCCCTGGGAATGTGGGGCACAGCTGGATGTGGATTGGGATGCTGCCTCAGTGCTCAACAGAAGCAAAGCTGGAAGGAGGGACCAGAAACATCCCACTGGCCAAATGTTCCTACTACTGAGAGAGGGGACTGGRTTTTCCCAAGTAACATTAGGCTTGTTTAATTACTCAGCTGTTGTTTGCTGGCCCTTGGCCCCTTGTGTTGTCTCTTCTGCCATCCTGTCCTCAGCAGAGTTGTCCCAGCAGTGATGGCTCCTTGGGGACAGGGAGGCAGATGCCTCAGGCACTTGTCACAGTGCTGGCCATTCCCCAGCAGCCTTGAGGCTGGTTCTAAGGGCAGGRTTAATCTAAACTAACATAGACGTTGGTTTCCTCATTTAGGTGAGCGTCAGCTGACTGTCATGGGTGAGGAGGGAGGTGCTTATGAACAGTGGTCCTTCCCACCCTACACTGCATAGCCAGTGTCCCCATGAGTGCTGTGGCTTCTGCCTGGGACAAGGCAAACCCAGGAGCTTCCAGGAAGCCACGCATGACAGAGGTGGTGAATAGCAGAATATACCCRTAAATAGAAAGTAGCTCTGTAAGAAAGGTCACCCCGATTACAGGATGCACTGGAGATGCTCCCCTTGTTTCATCCAAGAGCAGGGCTGTGCCCRGGAGGGGAGCAGTGTGACCAGCACCTATCAAGGCCCTGTTGACTCTGGCTGTGCTGCAGCCCTGGCACCCTCCATCCCCAAATACAGTGTTTTTTCCCAAGTTCAGCACAAGTTCCTTTTGTAATTCAAGCTTTCAACATCCAAACCTGTGCTGATTCCCCATGTCTAGCTCACACCMTGTCCCAGCATCCTTGGCCACCCAGGCTCGTGCTGCCCTTTGCACCAGCACCCACCTTCATGGGAAGAGCTCCCCTCTGAGCTCTTGTGAACTTCTGTAGGCAATGTTGGGRTTTTTTTCCAGGGTGTTTTCCTGTGAAATTTCTCTCCTAGCTTTAGGTGTCAGTTGTTTTCTGTGCTCAAAACTGTTACATTCAGKTTCTGGGACTGTAAAACACCACAGAGGTTTGTGAAGCACATTGGTATTGTCCAAGAACTGTTATTCCATGGCTAGGAGAATAAGGGAAGAGGAAAGGTAGGAGACAAGGGAATTGTAATTAAAATATGTCATCTCACATTGGCTTTGAATTGACACAAATTATAATGTAACATTTAGCAGGCATAAACCAGTGTTCCAAGTATCAGATCTCTCCCAAGAGAGCCCCTCTAAACAAGTGCAGGTCAAGAGGAAGATGGTATCATTTATCCCCACATACTCATTTTAGCCCAGCAAATTCTTATTTTCAATTTTTTTACTGTGACTTTATTCAATTACCCCAGGTTTGTAAAATAAGAATTCAGGTAACTGTTAAATAGGAGGGTTTCCAGTCTTGGGTATTTTTTCCCATCTTTTCTGCAATATTAAATGTTGAAGTTCTTGCCATGATATACACAACCCAAGTACACTCTCCAGACTTTGTGACCCTCCTGTTTGCTCAGTATCATTTGCGTTTTAATTGAGTCCAGATCAAACTGTGGCAGTGATGGCCCTTGCAGTGCTCCTGATGTGGAGGAGAGCTCTGTAGACCCAGGGCTGAGAGCTCAAGGAGAAGTGAGATGCACCCGAGGGCATCACTGGATTCTGTTTAGCAGGAGCTGGGTGTTTTATTATGAAAGAATTTGTGTGCTTAGAAGGCTTAGAACTGTCTCAGTTTTTAAGAAGGCTTAGAACTGTCTCAGTTTTTATTACTCGATATTGTTTTGCTGCATGGTGCAGTGGCTGTAAAATGCTTTCCCTGATGGCTGCCTGGCTATTGGAACAGTAGCATTACTAGAAGATGGCATCTTCCCTGGTTCTGTCCTTCAGCCTGTGATGTGCCAATCTAATATTCCAACTTTTTTCCGTTCCAAACAATAGATGGGAAATTTGTTCCCACCTCACCTCACTGTAAATTCACATCTTTCCATCCCATGTCAATCTGCTGTGCACAAACCTYTGCTCTTCCACAAGTGCTCAGCCGTGAATTGCATCCTAAATCCTGATGGGTTGAGTGGGTGAGCAGCTGTGTCCTAGGCAAGCATGTCAAGAAGGCTCCTGAAAGTCTGCTGGCCATCCCCCATGCCTGTCCTTATCTGTCTCTACCATGCATTAATCAAAGCAAACAGAAGTAGCTTCTTTATCTGAAGGTTCCCAATACTCCCAGCAGCTTTTCTGTACAGGCAGGTCCGTGCTGTGCTGCTCTTTTCTAAGATTGTTTAGCTTAATTTTTTGTTTGTAAATGCAATAAAGTATTTAGTCATGCTTGAAAACAAAGAGTTAAGATGCTAATCCAACCTCCCTTGTTTTAAACAGGCACAGAAATTCTTGGCAAATCAGTTCGTATTCTATTCTCTACATTAGGAGTTTGCATATTTTTTGCAATTGGCTACATGTTGCTGCCACTGTTTGCTTACTTCATCAGAGACTGGCGGATGCTGCTGCTGGCGCTCACTGTCCCGGGGCTGTTCTGCATCCCGCTCTGGTGGTGAGTCCATGCCAAGGCCACGCTCCCCACCTCCCCTCCCGCCTGATGCTCTTTGTGCTGGGTGCTGGGTAATGCCAGGGGGTCGGGGAGGAGGGGCATTTTTCTACTGGCCATGTGAGAAGGCTTTGCCTTGAGGGGTTTTTTTTTTTTTGTTAGGGTTTTTCTTGCCGGTTTTAAGTTGAGTAACTACCTAGAGAGCCTCGCTGGTGCTGTCTGTGTGCTTGAAGCTCTTTTCAGCTGGACAGAAGCACTGAAGAAGGGCGGATACTGTTCTGTTGCTGCCTGCTATTTTCTGAAGGGACAGGTGTTTGAAATTAGGAAAGGCAAACTATCACTCCAGCTCTTAAAACAAGGATCATTTACAGCAGGAAGAGTTCTTTCATATTATTCAGGGAACTCCTTTCTTCTTTTTATATTGAAAAAGTTATACCTGTAAGTGCAATTAGCATCTTAATAACAATTAAGTAATTTAGACACACTCTTCTGTAGTCTAAAAGACCTCCAGCATGTCCCAGTCTTGTCAGAAGTCTGCTGATGGTTTTGGTTTGTTGGTTGGTTGGGTTTTTTTTTTTTAACTAGAGTCTTCAAACCAAACCTTTTCAGCTTCGCTTCTGCTGTCACTGGATTTTAAAGACAGTTTGATTCTGTTTAAGGGTCAGTTTGCTTATTTAACTTGAAGTGTTTCAAACTCCATCACAGCAGCATTTCCCTCTGCACCGAGCAGCTGTTCTCTGGTGAGGCTGGTTTTGGGTGGAAGCCTCTCAGATGTCTGCTGTAGAACAGGCACTGTGAGGCACAGGAAATTGTCCCCAAGGCATGGCTTCAGAGCCCTGCTTTGAAATGTACTGGGTGGGAATTCCCAGGCTTTTTAAAAGCTTACATTTAAAAATGCCAGAAATTTCCTCTGACAGCACTTTGTCTGGGGCCTGTGTAGGGGTAGACGGGGATCAAGGTGCACTGGAAAAGCTCTGCCAAGGCAGGTTGGTGTTAGCTGGCATTTGGGCATRTGGACCCACTGCTTCCACAGGCCATGTGACTTGCACCTCCCTCTGCTCTGTGCCATTCTTGCTCTTTTACTCATTTCCCTTCCAAATCCTCCAGAAGGTTCCCAGCATTGTCTCTGCAGTCTTGAGATCCTCAGCTTTCCCAGTAAKAAGAGCAGTGGAGGCAGCTCATCTTACAGAAAGTTCCATTAGTGGTTAATGATCAGATGTAAATCATCTGATGTTTRAAATTATTGACCTGCCTTTGAGTCAGTCTTTAGGGTTCATCAGAAAAGGAGTGTCTGACCTGCTTTTTTTCCAAGGAGACGAAAAAGTGCTGCTGGCTAAAGGGAGCAAAGTGGCATCTGTTAAGATCAAAGGATTTAGTTAAGGAAGGTTAAATTTTTCTGTTCTGTGTTTGGTGTTAATTTACTCAACACGTGCCTGGAATTGATTAGACAATRTCATCAACTCTGCAAGGGGACACTGCCCCTGCCCTCTGCCTGGGAGAGCCTGCCTCAGAGCTGTGGTAACATGGTGAGGTTTGTATATAAGATTCCTATGACACAGACCCTTTAAATACACACTGCATTTTTGAAGCATTTCCACACTGTGTGGAGTTTCCTAAGAATGTTTTTGATTCACACTGGCTAAGCCACCCCCATCCTTGCTGTCTGTCTGGTGACATCTGGTGGACACCAATTATTCCTTAAAAAACACAGAGGACAAAGCACCTACTTCAGCATGAGAATAAAACCGTTCCATGTATTTGAATTACATTACCCACCTGCTTCTGTTATGGCTGTCTCCTGCTGCAAGCAATTTGTGAGATCAGAGTGAAACTCACAGACACAATAAATATGTTATTTATAACTTTTTACTGTTGGAAAAACATTGAGTCATTTATTCTGAAACTTATTACAGGGTCATTCCTGAGTCTCCTCGGTGGCTGATTGCCCAGGGAAGATACAAAGAGGCAGAAGCTATTATCCGAAAAGCTGCAAAAATAAATGGCATTCCAGCCCCAGCCGTGCTTTTTGACACTGCAGAGGTATGTTTCATACATCCTGGTGCTTTAGTTTGCTGTCACTTCCCCCTTTGGCTGGTTGACTTGTTGGGAAATGCCAGCAGAGAACTGGTTTGCACCAGCAGCTCTCAGGGGCTGGCAGTGACTGTTGGCCTGCGGTAAGTGCTGGGTTAGCAAGATCAAAGTGAGAACCCAGAGGGAGGTTTTATTTGTTTGCTTTTTACAGTAAAATTCTCTTCCTCAGCAGTGGTTTGTTGTGGTTTTCAAAGCAAGGGTGACCCAGATTGCTTCATCCTTTGGGCACTGCGAAGACCCAAGGAAAATGTGTTTGTGCACATTTCAGCTCAGTGTGTTGTTAGTGGTTTGCAGTTTAGCAGCACTCCTTTGCAGGGGGCTGTGTAGGGGACCCTAAATCAGCACCCACGTGAGCTGGGGCTGCATGGAGCCCGACAGACTCTTCAGCTTGCACAAACCAGCCAAAGCACCCGAGTGCTACMAGGGCACTTGGAAACCATGGTGTTAGTGAAGACAGTGAAGAACATCAAGCTCTTCTTCACAGTTGTGTTTTTCTTGTATTTCATATCTGTATTTTGTATCTGTTATTTTGTATCTGGAAGAAGGAAGTCTAGTGCAAACCTGGCAGCCCAGCAAGCCAGGGAGCAGCASGGCGACAGCAGGACGGCTGGTTCCTGTGCTCATCTCCCCCTCTGCTGGCTCTGCCCTCACTGCAGCTCCTCCCAAAGAGGCACATTTTCTCATGCAAAGACTCTTCCAGCCTCACATCAGCAGTGGCCGTGTGTCTGTGGGTCAGATTTTCCTCTGCTGTGTACTGGCACCGGTGTTTTGTGCCTCCTCGTGTCTCCTGACAGCAGAGAGCAAAGCTCCTGTGCTCCTCTGCAGTGTCTGCAGGACAGAGATGCTGTGAGTTATCCCTACCCTGGGCAGGATCCATCACTTGACTGTCACACATTTTGGCTGAAGATCTCTTTCCCAAGTGGAAGTTTCAGTGTAAATTGAAGTTCCAATTATGGAAAGCTCATTCTACACCAACCATGGAAAAGCAGTTCCCTTACTTCACAGCCAGACCTCAGATGTCTTTTGAACAGGAGATGACTTTTCCAGGTTGCATTTCATCATTCCTGCATATTTTTTTGAACCAAGGAGCCTGCTTCATGGAAATTTTGTGTGCCAAAGCATCCGTCAAAAAAAGGCTGAGGATGATGCCTGCATGCTAAGTATTTGGAAGTATTTTCCAAACATTACTAGAAAGACATTCCTTGGAAGCCCTCATCTATTCTAGGAAAGGATATCTCCTGGATAGTCCTGTAGGGAGAACCAGGGTGGTTTGTTCTTTAGGCCTGGGAGAAGCCTAGCTACAAGTGCTGGCTTTGCCCTGGCAAGGGCAAAATATGCAGGCAGAAGGGCACCTTAATGCCACCTAGAAGATTCCTGCTTCAAGACTCAAACTGGACCTTCCATCTCCAATTTGAGGTGGTGGATGCTCCCATGATGTGCCCTGKCCACCTCACCAGCCTCTGTGTTCTATTCTCCCTGTCATGGTGCTCGCAGGCAGCAAAACTGGGTGATTTTCTGCATTTATTTCACCTCATTTATGAAGGTTGAAGAGAGTTGAACAGACAGTGCACGGAATGGACAGAAAAATGCCTTTGGCAATGAGATTACTCCTGGAAGTACTGCAAGAGGTCCTTAAGGAAACACTAACTCATCTGTCTGGTCAACTGATGCTCCTTTCTAATTAGTCAGCATGGTGCAATGGAAACTGCCACGAGTACAGCTGGGTACAGAGACAAGCTCTACCTAAGGACTGCCCTCCCTGGTGCAGAAGTGGCCCTTGGGCTGCCTAGTTATCCCCTGATAGTCATAACTTCGTAACTGCCCGGATTGTGGGTAGCAGAGGTTGTTTTGCTGTTAGGTGTGTGGGAATTTTTTTGGTTTTGTTTTCCTTTTTCCTTCAGATGCAGGATTCGAAGCCTCAGCAGCAGCAGAAGGCTATCCTTCTGGACCTATTTCGAACCCGAAACATTGCAACTATTACTATTATGTCATTACTTTTGTGGTAAGGAAATGTGTATTCCTAAAGTACCCAGGCAATAGAACAGTTTCTGATTTGAGGGCACATGCCACAGGTTTAGATAATAAGTCTGAGCCTTGGAGCCCATCTCCAGTGGTCCTTGGCTGGTTCATGRCCCTCAATGTCCTCGTACCCACACTGCATTAATACACAAGAATATGGAGACAGTAGCCTCGACTCAGGTGTAAAATAGTTAGAAARCTATATGTAACTACTTGTGTATTTTGAAGTATGTTATTTTTTTTTCCCTTAAATGCTCCCATCTCTTCAATCTCTATTTGAAGAGAAGTGTTCTTCTTGAAGCTCAGTAACATAAGAACCAGACCCATGGTCAGCGTTTTTGTTCTGTTTCTGTACTGTGCCCATCTCAGTGAGATCCTGCTCCCTGCCTGGGCAGCCACAAGGAATGAGGACCCAATAATGCCATATAGACAAACCAGGACCCTTTTCTGTCCATGTTGCCCCCAGCAGAAAGCAACTGGCTAGCACACTTGGCATGCCATAGTAAGGTGCTCCTGAGATTTGAAACCTGAACATCCAGCTCTCTGTGAAGATTAAATAAGATGTAATGGAAGTGCTGAGGGTGGGAGATCCTGACACTGGCTACAAGTAGGAATTTAGTTGGCATGGGAAGCTTGCAAGAGTTTCATTGTGTCATTGAGCCTGTTGCAGTGAAAAGCCTTTGTGAACGACTTCCACAAAGCTTTTTACTTGGTGTAACGTATGCAGGAAGGACAGAGAAATCTGAGGTGTCTTCAAGCCGCTGTGGATATGATCACTGGATGGGATAACAGAATTAGAAAGATGGGGTTGCCACTGAGACTTTTTTAAGCCACGATGTCTGTGGCGGTGCTTTGCGACATCCTATTTTTGTAACATCTGAGGCACCACTGGAGGCGTTCAGAGACTGCTATTTCTGGAATAATTTTGGTTTATTGCTTTTCTCAGGTTTTTCACATCAGTTGGCTACTTTGGCCTGTCCCTCAGCACTCCAGACTGGCATGGAAATGCCTACATCAACTGTTTCCTCTCGGCTGTTATTGAAGTTCCAGCTTACGTGATCGCCTGGCTTCTCCTCCGCTCTCTCCCACGGCGCTACTCCTTATCTGGCACCTTTTTTTTAGGGGGAAGTGTTGTCCTCTTCATTCAGCTGGTTCCTGCAGGTACAAGATTAAATATGTGACTTAAGTATATGAACTATTCAAAATATGCTATGGTACTGTGTGATAGTTCTGCAAAATTACTGGAAACTGGGTTAATATTTAGAATTTGAGGTCAAGTTTATGCTGATCCCTTGCAGCCTTGGTTTTTTTATTGCATATGTATATGCTGAGTCACACTTGACTCTCATTTATTCTGTCAAATTACTGAGCTTTATATAGTCCTGGGGAACCAGCTTCTAAAATGAGAGCTGAAAGTGTACTGTGATGTATCTGGTTGTGTTCGCAGGCTACAGAAACCTGCATTCAGATTTCACTGTGTGTAAATCTCCACGGAATTTGGAGAAAAGGGGGTGGATTCAAGCTGGTTGTTTATTGCTGTGTAATCCAGAGTTTTGTTCCATTTCAAGAATGATGTTTTACTTGAAGACAAGCAAAATCTGAAAAAGACAAAATAACCTGAGCATCTACATTATGCTCAGTGGGGAGTTTGGAGTCGTGTAGGGATAGGGTTAATACTTTGTATAATTAAAAAAACCTGAAGCACCAACCTCACAACCTTTAGGAAAAACACAGCAATACAGTCTTTTGGATGTAGAAGAAATACAGCTAATAAGCACAGTGTTGTTTAGTCACCTTGATTTTATTTTTTTCTGCTCCAGATCTTAATGTCCTCTCTGTTGGACTGGTGATGCTTGGGAAGTTTGGCATCACAGCTGCGTTTTCAATGCTTTATGTCTACAATGTGGAGCTGTACCCAACGCTAGTGCGGAACATGGCAGTGGGAGCGACCTCCACGGCCTCCCGGCTGGGCAGCATCATTGCTCCTTACTTTGTTTACCTGGGTAAGATGTCTTGTCTTTCTTGCACCTTGTCTTTCTCACCACACAACTGCCCAGAGAAGTTGTCTGAGCTCCTGCAGTGCAGGCACAGCTTTAAGTCCCTTCACTTGTCTTTTTAGCTCCTTCTCTCTGGGGTGTGAGTTCATTGTCACACATGGTAGAAATTAAGTGGAGCTCCCTGGGCTTCACAGAAGGGTCAGGCACATTGTTCTTTTAGGATTGTTCATATATCACTGAAGTGGGTTAGAGCTGGCCCAACACAACAGTGATGTTTATAAACTGTGCAAACAGAGTGGCTGGAATGATAATCACATCTTGGGACACCAGTTAGTTTCCCAGGAGAGTGTAGTAAGAAGTGGTCTTGAAAGTAAGGAAATGTAGCAGTAGGAAATTCATTGCATGGTACTGTCTGTGTGCATCCCAAGTAGGAATACTAACATTCCCAGGATCTGTGCTCTCTCAAGTAATCCATAGAAAAATACAGGTTAAGTACCACAAAAGTGTGTTTACTTGAAATGATTGTTTTTATTAAAATTTTTTTTTTAGTTACTACGCCAGTCACCTTGGCATTCATTCATGTTGCTTTTTCTTATTGCTCAGTAGTTCTGTAAGCAGAATTATTGATTTCCTCATAGGCTTCTTTTTGACACTCAATACCGTCCCATTCTGAGTGCTGCACATATGTTAACTGAAAAATATTTTTTTGGTTTTTGTTTAATACATAAAAATGTTCCTCATATTGCCAATAGCAAAGGGTGGCAGAGATTAGGAGATTAAGGGTAGAATATCTGTGAATACCTGCTGCTCAGCCTGGGGCGCTCAATCTCCTCTTTCTTTTGCTCACACATGATTTATTTCCTTCTGCCACCACTGGACCCATCTCAACTCTCTCTGTCCCTAACAAGTATTGTTTCCTGCTGAGATTTTGATACAACATGAGCAAGACTTTGCTGGCTCAGGCCCAACACTGCTGGTGTACTGCTGAGGGGTTAATGCTGGTTCTCCATGCCACGAAAAGGGGAGAGGAGATGGCTGTCTGTAACTGATCAGTGTTGACTCACCTCTGCATTCCGGTGTAACTGGAACACACTGTACCAAAAATGATGAAAATGCCTTGTCTTGGTTTCATACTTGTACAGTGCAAATAAAAAATAAAAGGGTCAGCAGGACTATGCAGACCTTAAGGAGAGTCAGTCTCCACTGCAGCACTAAGAGACAGATATAGTCAGAGTAACATTTTTACTGATTGTTTTTTTGTGGGTTTGTGGAGTCTTTTTTTTTCCCAGGTTTCTATAGGCTCAGTCTTTAAGAAATCATGTTCCAGACATCAAAATAGTTTCTTAAACTTTAAGAGGTTTTAGGAGAAACTTGTCAGCTGCTGTTATTTGCTACAGCTAAATTAGGACCTTGCAGTTCGTGCAGCTCATAAACACAGAGGAGATCAGATCACAAACTTTGGCTCTGTGAGACATACCCAGGGGTCCTCTCTTTAATCTGAGTTATTCCATACATTATAAAGAATATTACTCTATTCCAACTATAAAATAAAGCTGTCAGGTCCAGTTTGGTACTTTCTCTGTCTTAAATACTTTTAACTCCTAGCTAATCCCTTTTCTGAAAGGCCTTTTCATTGCTGTGCTGTTGTGATTTGAGGATCTTGCATCCTGACTAAACACTTGTGTGCCAACTTCAGGCTGCTGGCAGGGGCTGCTGCCTTCAAGTCCAAAATAATATTCTGAGTAGACCAAGGTCAGAGCCTCATGTGTGTCTCAGGAAGCCTGATGTTGTCTCTCTTTGCAGTAAGAAAGGCATTAAAGCATTCCCCCATTAATGAGTTGTTAGTCTGTGAGCCTGTTCAGCTGATTTAGTCTCTTCCTTTCTTTTGCACCAGCCCAGCAGGACACATGATCTCAGGCACTGATGAGTGCTTATGAGCAATTTTATACCCTCATACTGAATTATTTAACAGAGGATTTGGGTCTTGATGTCAGTGTGGTAGTGAAGACTCCAGCAGTGAT